CATTTTTTTGGTTTATTTGACCTTTGGAGCTGCAATCTTGTTTCAGGTTGATTAAACTCTTGGTGGCCTAGTGCAATACTCTCTAAGGCGTCAACTGACTAGAGTGGCTTTCAACAGAGAGTAGAGGGCTTAGGACAGCTTTTCTCTATCCCAAAAATGTTTGCCCCATTCCAATTTTAATCGTAATTATACTTTCGAGAAATCCAATGGTTGAAATTCACTCATGAGATCAGTTTTGCTTAATTTGTTTCAGAAAAATGAATATGAAGAATTCTACAACAACAACAACAACAACAAAACAAGAGTGTAGACAAAAAACATTGCATTATTAATATCAGTTGACTTTTGAAAGGTACTCCAATATATGAACGTTTGCTTAACACAACATTAACTTGAGCGGCCTTTGAAAACATTAATTGATTGGCCTATGAACTTCATCCAAACGTGGGGAGAAGGGGATTTAAACAACAAGGGGGTGGTTGCAACTTATATATCTGGAAATTTTAAACTCTAGAATTATATGGTGAACAGGCTCTCTGCCTACATCATTCACAATGGAGGCCAGACTACTATCGATTCAAGAAAAAAATCAGTTTTTTTGCCACAAGTTGTGATACCTTATACGCATAAGATATTTATGCGTGCTTTCTAAGCACACACTGAGGTGAGATTAACTAGGTAAAATTTGAACAGCCACATACTAAAAAACAGAGATTACGGCTTAGAATTATTTTGAAGAAAAGCAACGTGAAGAAGCGTGCTTGACGGGATTTTACTTTCAATCTGCATGACCTGCGAAGAACAGTTAGACGTAAACACAGCTACAGGAATGGAAATTAAAATACCTAAGTAAAGACAGCTGAACAATCTACATTCTCCGGTTTTACATGTAAGGCATGAGAAGAACAAGCTGTCATTTTTACGGCAAAGTCGAATATTTATTATTTTAATGTGTAAACTTCACAACAATATTTGTATAGTCGATGTTACTCCGTGCTAAGTGTTTCATGGTGGTTCAAGGTTTTTTTAAAGACGTTGCCTTAACTACAAATGGAAAAAAGAATTTAGTTTCCTCCATGAAGAAAATAAAATAGCTATTTCACAAGACAAACAAGCATGAAAATTCGTCCATACTCTTAGTTACTTGTTATTGGTAAAAGCGAGAAATAGGCGCGGCTTGTCTTTCCTTTTGCAACTGAATTATAAAAATATTGTTTTACTTCTTCTTTGTATAGCGCATTACTAATTAAAGCCAACTTAATTTTGATAACACTTGTCTATCTAGCCATAACAGTTGCCTACAATCATTCTGGAGGTAACAATCTTTTGTTTTCCTTTCGAAGGCAATGAAACGATTTTGCTTTTAATTCCCGTAACATTGTTTTTCAAGATTTATTATGGTCAAGTAAAACACTACACATTACTCAACCAAAACGTCAACACGGCTTATATTGTTGTTCGCAGATTGAGGCGGTCACCTACATGTATCAAAGTTATATTTTCTGGAAATCATGTTTTATGTTGTGAAACGCATGGAACCGTCACAAAGAGGTAATTAAACCACAGAGCCGTCAAAGTTATTTACCGTGATAAACATTGCCGACTAAGTCTCCTTTTTTCTTACCTCAATTGCGTTTATGTTTTTGTTATTTTTGTTTTTTTACTTTTTTATTTTTTGTTTTGGCGTTCCTGCAGGGGCGCATTTCAGTGCCATCATAGCTAGAGCGCGAACATGAAGATATTGCCTCTGTGTTTTAATCTGACGTGATCACTTAGACCCAAGTGACCCTTAGCTAAAACAGCGCCACAGTCATAGAAGGAATACATTATGGAAAAGCCTGTACTCCCGAAATCAAGGATGAGGCTCGCGTCAAGGCTGATTCACAATTCATGAATTATCTGAAGCGCAGTTTTAAAATGCCAGCTCTTATAGAAATTACAGTATATTATTCCACCAAAGATGATGAATTTTAGTCAACTTATCCATTGTTTTTAGGACGTGAGCACACTTTCTAGCATTACTGTCGAAATTCATTTCCATAGTTTATTTTTGTTGGTTTTAACAAGCCAAGCGTATTTACCAAGCTAAGTTATTATCACCATTGTAGAGGATGGTCTTTTAAAACTTTCGAGCGTTCTATTTAGATACTTACAATAGCTGAATAATTCTCAAAATAATTAAAGGTTTTATCCTCTCTGTCGAGCATTTTTAATAGCCATAACTAAAATCCCGAAAGATCTTTTTGCTAAGGATAATTCTTTTATAATTCAAATTTAATTTTTCTATCAAGGTAAAATTTGACTGTACGTTTTTTTTTTTTATAATTTCAAGCTTTAAATTAAATTTAGAGTTATCTTATTACGTGAAAATTTGACGACACTTAAATTTAGCGATTTTTCGTAAATTTTGGAGCATAAATCACTAATTTTCACGATTTCACGAACTGAAATTTTGGCGAATTAAGGTATTCAAAACTTTACAACGACAATATAACAGTTATGTGATGAAGTCATAAACGTCAACAGCTTCATTTAAATCAAATCATACAACGTTTTGAAACTTAATTTTGAACGAAACAAACGAAACTGCAACTGTAATGTCATTATACCTTAATGCTATCCTCACTCATATCTAAGGTACATTGTCACACAATCAATGCTGTCTTTACGAATACCACGTCATAATCGACCGTCAAATAGCATATGGGTATGAAACTGACCAGATGGCGGAATTTCATTTTGTACTCACTTTAATTTTGCGATGATTTAAATTTAGCGACGTTTAATATATTTTGGTGCATTTTTATTTAGCGATTTTTTAAAAAAATCGCTTAATGCGTTAATCAAATTTAAGTGTCGCCAAAATTTCATGTCATAACGTACATTAAACAAAGCGCGATTCTAAAAACATAATGAAATAAAAACGGAGTTTAAAAAAACTCAAAAAATCACGAAGGGTGATGGAAATAACAATGTCACTAATTATTAACAAATTTACGCTTTTTGAAGCGTCTTTGCAGCGCGTTTTTACTGAATTCTAGGAAGACTTTCCTGGGGTTTATTTGTTGAGGATCACGTTAAGGTTCAAAAAGGGAGTGGGAAATTCATTGTGTAATGATGATAATTTTTACACAATAATATTACACAATTATTTTTGTGTAATAATTAATGCCCCTTCTTCACGTTGCTGTTCCGTTGCCGCAGAGTTGTTTGGCTTCGATCTCTAATAATGTTTTACTTGGGTACTGACTTATGAACCGTTTAGCTAACTTTTTGCTCTTCTTCTTCTATTATCATCATTATTACTCAGGGATTTTTCGATTTTTTCAGATATTCGGTGGGTCATCATGAAAGTGTACTCGGTAACTTGAGCCCCATCTTTAGCAGTTCTCTTACATATTCTATTACGTAATCTGAAAAGCTAGCCGCTGGGCCAAATTTTGTGGGCAACGTTGATTAGCTTTTAGAACGAATCCAACGCCGCCTGGTTAGTGGTAAGCTCAATTGGGTAAGCTCAATTGGATAAGCGCCGGTCTGCCGAGCGGAAGGCCGCTTGTTCACACCCCGGCCGGACCAACAACTTCGGGTCTTTAAACAAATAAATAAATTCCCAGACATTCTAATTTATTTTTCATGAATACGAATTAAAAGCAACTCAGTAAATAGTCATTCATTACAGATAAGTTAATTAACGTTTTTTAAGAGGACCTCGGATGAGGTTGGCATACGTGGGACTGCTCTGAATTGGTTTAGATCGTACTTGTCTGATAGAAGTCAGCGCGTTTCTGTACATGGAGTTCTTTCTCGTCCTTTTGACTTGAACTGCGGGTTACCCCAAGGCTCATGTTTAGGGCCTTTGCTATTCATAATATATGCGTCCAAGCTGTTTAAGATCGTGGAATATTATCTTCCCGAAGCTCACTGTTTCGCAGATAATACGCAGTTGTATCGGAGTTTTAAGCTGATTCCCTGGTTTTGCACTACGCGTCTCTTACTGCGCATAACAAGATGGCCGCAGTAAAAAAGAGTATGTAAAGTAACAGTATTAAAATGAAGCTGACTGAAGAGAAACGCTATTGGAATTTTTGCTTGCGGTTGTTTCTTGCCGAAGAGAGACTCAATGTGTTGGGAATGTGCATAACGTAAGCAGTACGCGTGTTGCTAAGTTCGACTTCCTCACGGAGAACCTCGATAGTGGATGTTTAACTTGTGCCTACTCACTTTGATTTTCATTTAAACGCTTTCTTTATCACATTGTGTTCTAATTGTGATATCTCGATGTAAATTCTGTAAAAACGGATTTTTTAATACTTTGTTCCCCCTTTCACAGACATTCTATTTTGAAACTCGCCCCAGTCCTCTCTCAAAAATAGGAGAAAATCCATTTGGTGCGCATTTTCTGCAGCTCTACCGCAAAAACGACCCCATTTTTTATTTCATGATTTTTTTTCATGATTTTTTATTTCATGATTTTAATAAGGACAGTGCTTCCTTTCGATGAGAAAAAAATTGGCACAAATCTATGTTCAGTTTTTTGGCAGTTTTACTAAATTCTACGGATTGAGCTATCACGGGTCGAATAGCGCGTGTCCAATTCAATTCTACTTTGGAGCGTAAAGTAAAAACAGGAGCATTAAAAGGCATTTTTCTGGTATATAAGTGGATAAACAATACAATAAAGTCAAATTCTGTAGGATACCACATGCATCATCGAAAAAAAATTTCTCCTTTTTGTCTAGTTTTGGGCTGCGCGCTGTTTTTGTCAAAGGGTCCAAAATAGCCGTATTTGTCAGCATTGTGACGTCAAAACGAGCACGGTGACCCCCACTTTTTATTACTTTTTTATCATCTTCTTGACTTGTTACATCAGTGTACCAAGTTTCATCTACAATCTATGTTAGGTTCTTTTACTAAGGAATCACCTTAAACCACTCGGCAACACTGCTCAAGCTGATGCTATACAAGCTATGGAAAAGTGCATTGACGCGGTGAGGAAATAAATGATTCAAGATCGGTTGATGATCAGTGATGATAAAACCGAGTTTTTGTTGGTCGGCACACGACAACACCTTGATAAACTAGATTCGTGTTCCATTACTGTGGGCAATAATCGTATCAGTCCAAGCCCTTGTGTTAAAAACCTTGGATCATGGTTTGACAGCAACTGAAGCATGACTGATCATATAAACAAGGCTTGTAATGCGGCATTTTATCATTTACATAACTTGAGACGTATTAAGAAATACCTGTCTAGAGATTTTTTAATTACTTTGGTTCATGCTTTTATAACCAGCCGTCTTGACTATTGTAATGGTTTATTGTTTGGGTTATCAAAGGCGCAGATCGCTAAATTACAACGTTTGCAAAACGCAGCAGCGAGACTTATTCCCAAGGGAGAGATGCTTACAACATTGGGATCAAGATCATTTTCAGCAGCTGCTCCGAAACTCTGGAATGGCCTACCAGTGGAGCTTCGTCAAGCAACATCACTTAACAGTTTTAAATCTCGACTTAAAACCTATCTTTTTAAGAAGTATTTTTATAGTTTGTAACTTAGTTTATTTTATTCTCACGGTAATGTATTTTCGTCTTCTCTTAAATATATGATTGTAAAGCGCTAATTGATCAGAATATGTAAATACGCGCTATATAAATTGGTAAATTATTATTATTATGATTATTTCTTGGTCAGAAACCATTGCGCCCAAGTTCATCCCATCAACCTTACCTCGAACACTAGTGGGTTTACTTATTCATATTTTCGAGTGGGCCTCCTTAATTTTATGAAACTTCCTTTCGTCAATTGTTGTCTTCCCTTTACAGCAGCGATACCTAAGACGAAGAATTTTCTTCTTCAAATAAATCGGTCATCCTTTGCCTGGAAGTGTAATTGCAGCTTCGAGCGTGCCCGACTCCAACCGAAGGAAAGTCTGTGGCACCGGACGAATTTTCAACCGGTTGAAATTCGTACGTTTTCCGTTCACGCGGAGCCAACTTAACCGTGCAAAAATTTAGACGTCTAGCCGTTGAAGAAAATTTAAACGTCAGAATCGAGGTCAAATTTTAAACCAGTGCGGTCGAAAATTTTACTGGAGCGGTGAGATTACCATACTGTTTAAGTGTTTTAACGGCAAAGGCGTGGTTGCCTGGATGCGTGGTAAATCAGCTTGGAGATGCCATTTGAATTTGCTTTAAAAGTATCGCTCTACGTATGAGCAGATGGTAAAACCAGTGACTCAAGTTAACACTCAATTTTTTTCGTCAGTTTCCTGTGAAAACTGAGCGAAAATATTGAATTTCTTGAATGATTTCTTGGTGTGAATCAAGCGTTTGCTCAAGCCGATAAAACATATCGCAGACAAACAAGGGGTTTTACGTCAGGATGTCTACATTTTCTTTTTTTTCCGAAGAGGAAGTTATAAATCGAGTTATTCTTTGTATACTTTCCTTCTAGAAGGGGAAGTAAATATTTTGAAAAAAAACTGTTCAACTTCCCAATGCTTTTATGTGCAAAGCAGAACGATTAATAGGCAATACAATTCGGTACTCGCAAACTTTGTTAAGCTTCCGGCAAACTTATGGTCGAGAGAGGATATCCTAAATTGCCTATACAATTATTTCAAAGATCTAATCATGTGCGCACAGTCGAAGCTGTAATCATTCCGTCCCTCGTTCGATCCTTAATAAGATCCGTCAATTTTGAACATTATGTTTTCGAAGCAGTAAGTCAATGATTTAGTGCCCCGATTGTGCTTGTAAAATGCTGGAAAACTGCTTACTGTAATGCCAAAAGGTTGTTGCCTACATTTGTGGAAATTTTTATATAAATGTTAATCAAACTGGAATTAAAAGCTTTATTTTTCGTTCTCCACAATAATTGCTAACGTCGATCAAGAAAAAAACGTGAAACTTGGCCTTACAAAGTTTCTCGCAAATATGTGCTAAATATAAGGATACTCAATCTTACCCAGCCTTGAACAACTAGATTTTTCCTCTGGGGTTTTGATTGGGTGTCACATGACGAGGTAGCGCCCCTTAAGGTCTGTCCCGATTGTGCTTGGCAACTTTTGGCGTTGGGAGCAACTTTTTGCAGTTTTAGCAGCCTCGACCAACTTTGCCTTTCTGAGCAATTTTTTGAGCAACATATAGGTTTAGAACACATATAAAGCCCGACAAAGTAAACCAATCCTTAAAAAAAACTCAGTTTAAACAAACTTCTTGAATATTTATCAACCTATTGAACACATAACCTTTCACTTGGCAAAGTTTCGCAAACCTAGAAAGGCATTTAAATGTGCCTAAGAGGCCTGAGAAGCAGTTAGTACATAATTAATCGCAAGAAAACGAAAAAGGTAATCTCGATGCATATTTTGCTAATTTATAGAGCAAAGAATGATTCTCATACAACGTCTTAAAAATTTGTTTGCTGTGTGAATAAAATTAATTAGCTAAGAGGAAATGACAATTCAATGAATTTATCTCATTACCCTGCTGTAACACGTAGTTAAAATAGAATAACTGAAACTGAAAATAAATGTCGGGAAAAGACATAAAATTCCTATTTTGTAAGCAAATATTCTATTTCTTTTCCTGTTTTGGTTTTGACATCCGGCGTTCTCGTTATAATTACGGAGACGGATGACGACACATTAGCGACGAGTGAGTGGGACATTTGCATATCGTAGCGCCGCATCCCCATCCTCTAAAATCGATCCTTCGCTACGGGTATCTGTTAGTTAAAAAAAAAAATGAATCACTGGTTGCTTTCTCTGCATAACCTGTGATTTGCGTCGGTGAAGGAGTTAAGTACATCTACTAACAAAGCTAAGGCAAAGGACGGTTGGTCAAGTTTACGGCCTTCTGTGCGAGAGGCCCCCAGTTCGACTCCCAGCGGTGACTTGAAATCATTGCTTGGACTTCTCTCATTTTTGAGTAGCTTTGAGTAGCTTAAAAAACCCGTAAGGTGGAGCAGGCGGAGCGCGCGCAGCACTGATGGAGAGAAAAGGGTAAACACTGGGTAAAATGAGAGTAACTTACCTCACCTCAGGTTTGTTAGTATTAGATTCAGCTACCGACGTAAATTAAGGACGCTCTACCTTTTAACTTTAACCTGGTTTCACAGCAATGTTCATAACACACTTTTGTTTTTATTTTTTCATTCATGGTTTTTATGTTTTTTTGCTCGTTTACTTATTTTATAACATAGCAGAGTATTGGAGACTTTGGTTAGTGCGTTTCCCCCCATTACCAGGCGCTTTTCCAAAACAAATTATTAATGTAGCGGTGACATTTTCAAATTTCAATTCTACGTGACATGTTTTTCAAAAAAAGTAGGGTATCTGAGTGAAGGGATAAATTACATTTTAACCGCAACAAAAACGAAACAAAATCTTGTGCGTGCTGGTGTTTTAATCTTAATCAAACTTGATTTTTAGAAAATACATCAGTCACATTAGTTTACGTTTTGTATTAGCACTCCTAAACGTGCCAATATCTAAGCGTGCCTTTGTTATCACACATTTCCCATAAAATGACACAAAAAAAGCAACCCCAATGAACTAGGTCTGAACTCCGTTCGGAATCCATCTTGGAATGAAGTAGGGATATGTTAGGTCATCCTTGTCCTTCCGTTTCTTGTTCCTTTCTTGCAGTTTGGGCTGAACAACACGCATCAAGTAGCTGTAGTGATTGTTGATAATGTTAGCGGCCTTACTGTCCTCAAGACTGTTGCCGTAGTCAAACAGTGAATCAAAGCGGAGAGCTGTTAACCCGCTGAAGCCTGCCCAAATCTGAAAAGTTAAAAACCAAATGAAATCGCGTCAGCTAAAACTTGTCATGATAACATAGTATTAAATTTAGTTCATTGAATTATAAACTGCGAAAAACAGTCATTAAGCTCAAGGCTGACAACCTTTTCAATAGACATGGATAGACTATATTTGCTCTTCTGGTTCATTTACTAATAAATGAACGCTTTGCAATATTTCTTTAGGACCAAAAAACAGAGACAGATAATTTCAAAGGCATTGTTAGAGCCTTAAGGCTAATTTAACTTGCAAGTTTTCTAGTTGGTCCCCAGTCATTTAGTTTCCATAGTTTTAAATACAGGTAAAAAAGAATGTTACCTAAGAATCAAAAGGTGTTTTTCGCAGACTAGCACAGATGGTACAAAATAATTTCTATAAGGTCAACATTATGTCTTGTCGTGAATAATATTACAAGGTTATTTAACCGCGGTTATTATTTTTTGGTCGACCCATAACCTCAGCATTTATATTTTCGTGATCTATTGGTCATAACTATCCACCCAAAATTAAAAGGACAACGAAATTGAAGTTTTAATAATCTTAGAAAAGAACGTTGTGCCTACCGCAGATGTAACCCTGTTTGGGAGTCGGTAAACAGAGAATTCACCCTCTTTAACTCTGGCATCATTGTACAGTTTCGTTGGCAGATTAGGGATGTACACGGCATATTCTGTCAGCGCGTAGTTGAGTGCGGTGTGCTGCACGCTCAGGTGCGAGATGACCCGGGTAACAATATCACAGAGTTCTTCTTTGGAGTCAATTCTTGGAGGGAACTTTTGTATCTGTCGGTTATTTAAGTTGAAATAGCTTATAATAAATAAAGAATGTATAAGTAGCGGACAACTTGACATCAGTTTTAGCGGAAACATTTTGGTCACCAGGCTTGAAGAAATTCATTATTTATTTATTTATTTATTACTCAACCGCACCGAAAACCTTAAAGTTTATAGACAAAACGCACCTAAATTACAAAACCTGATGAGCAACACGGGGTTAACCAGGAAAGCTCAAATATATAACCATTCCTTTTGGCTTAGCTTCCATTAGTATCTTCCTCATAGGCTCGGTCGTCTCCAAAAAACGTGGCAATCGAAACTTTTCGTCTGGCCGGACTACGATTATGATTAAATGTAAATTTGAAGTAGTGCAAGTTTTAACACTTCCAGAGTAACTGCGTTGTATAAATCTTCAATGAAATGCACCCGCTGAAAAAGTACGTGTACGTCTTTCCTGTTAAATCTACAAAGGAATTTGGAGGGACTGCTATCATTTTGGATGGACTGGTAGCACCCTTGATTTTCATTGCGCCTAATGTTGTCTGATTTTCTAAAAGTCACGTTACCGGTTAGTGACGTAATTATACTGAAGGTACAAATATCATTGGTATACTGATACTTACTCTTCCAATTCCGCCATTCTCTCCAGTTCCGTTGAGAGATAATTCATTGAGGAAAGCCTCGAGTTCCTTGTCTTCCTGGACAGCTTTATCGTCTTTATAATATCTGAAAGAAATTTGGCTATGTCATTATGAAGCTATTATTGATAATGCAACAATTTCCTCAAACTAATGAATCCTTGACAAAAATTGTATTCAAAGTTTCGTATTCTTTCATGTCATAGTATCGAAGAACCTGAACAGCCCTTTATCTCCTAAACTTCCGATAAACATGCACTATCGAGATGAACGTAACATGAATGTAGGTAGGCATGTTTTAGCTTGTTTTTAGACTAGGAATTATTCTGAATGAATAATAAAACAATTATTGAATTCGGCTTCGTATCATATGAAGAATTATGAAGATCGCGGAGGGTGCATATATCCGCCGAGGCCGACACACTACTCGATCCTTATAATTCTTCAGATGACATGAAGCCGAATTCAATAATTGTAGATCTGTAATGTTTGTGAAGAAAGTCTATGAAAAAGTGAGGATTTTATTACGAACTTAGAAATATTTTGTATGGATGATTAAAAAAACAAAATTCAACTTACGCGTTAATATGCCAAGGTACAAAAAAAATATTATATTATCAACTCTAGCTCCTGACCGGTAACTTTGCCTGATGAAAATACTTACAAAGAGACGTATTTCTCCACCACGTCATCGATTACTCCTAAAATCTCCTCGCCATCATCACGGTAAGGAAAGTATGGAATAAGTCTCCTGTCATCTAGTCCACGTTTCTATTAATAAAGTGTATTAATTCCACACACATAAAAAGGTCAAGACAAAACGTAATGAAAACTGCGGGCAGAGAGCAAGTTTATAGTAAAGACTAAATCCTTCAAGGACGGAAGTTCTTACAAATAAAAAGGTAGCGTTCCTTTTTTGATGCCAGGGGTTGAAGTTTCATGTCGCTGACTGAATCAGCGAACCATTCATATTCATAAGCTATGCACAGTTTCATCTAAATTCAGATCGAGTCCCGACATAAATTTAATGTTTCGCAATAGTTTTAGGCCATGGACCTTAATCTCATCGGCATCAATTAGCCTAGTCCACGTTTTAGTCATCAAGCACGTTATGACAAAAAGATGTCATAAAAAAGTGGAAATTTCGGTGCTTCTGAGGTAAGTATCAAGCTCTGATTTAGGTGTCAAGAGATGTTAGAAATAGCTGATATAACTGCATGGATTAATGTTATCATCTAAAGGAGCTTTTTCACAGCAGTCTAATTTAGTCTCCCCTATTACTGCCCCTTACTCACAAGTCACACCTTCCTGACAAACAAATTTGTCTCCCAAGCATATAAATATTTATTTACACTTATAAACAACAGAGATGAAAAACTGGTACACCGTAATGTTTAGGGAGTTATTGTGACCCAAAAAATGGAGTAAAACTTTTAGGTACAGGATAACCCCTTTTTGGGGGTTACTCCAAATTTGGGGTCATTTTTACTCCTGAAAAAGAGTTCTTTTTACTCCCAGTCTGGAGTTAAAATAACTCCGAAAAAGGGGTTATTCAGGGAGGGCTGGCAACGGCCTTTGATGTTGCCTCTTTTCGGCTTTTCATGATCTCCCCAGTTAAGAAATCTGTCAATCATTCGAGAACTGTAGCGAGCATGCGCGAAACGGGCTGGTAAAAAACAAGAAGAAGCTCATCTTCGAGGCGATTCGACAGTGTGAAGTGAATTGGCTTTTATATAATATTTAATCTATTGTATAATGTTAATCCTCTTGGTCATTGCTTTCTTTCGACGTTGCTGTAACCAATTTTTTTTTTCCGCGGTAATGTGGGGCTTACGTTTTCCTTTCTTCTGGTCTTGCGTGTGTCATTACATGCGGTTTACTACGCTAAGAACGAAGAACGAGGCTGGTGAACATGTTCAGCTGATATGTTCCTCGATGTCCGACCTTTTGACTATGTATTTCTATTTAGAAGACCCACAAGACTAAAAGAAGGGCCAGCCCTCCAATACGTATGTAGAAGAGTTTCTATTTTCAAGCGAAAGGCCCAAAATTTATTCTTTGCGATATTAAAAAAAGGTGCAGTGGCTGTGGTCGAATAGAAGAGTTGTCAGAGTTGTTTACGGTTTTACCACACTTTTAAGACGAGAAGAAATGATGATTGAGATTCTTAATTTTATATCCTTGATTGTGAACTTATCCTGGCAGAGTTGCGTTGGATGATTGAGTGGCATGGTCAAATCTCGTAGTTTATGTATTTCTTTATGTACCAGCAGCTAAATAAATTTTGCCAAAAGATCATTCTCTCTTGATTTTGCACATGTTGATATGTTAAAGTTTCGTTCTTCGTGTGATTTAATTTAAACTTTACCGTAGTTTCTAACAAATGAATCTGAGGCAAATAAATTAATAAAAGGGTAATTATTTTTTGTGTTTGGTATTCTCTTTTCATGACAGCAGTTATTACACTGCCTTCAGTTTGAGTTCTCATTCAAGTGTGTTTTGCTGCAAACAAAGAGGGAAAAAATTATAAATTCCAAAAACTACACTACCCCTTGGAACAAGATTATGGTTTACAAAAGATGGGATTAGCTAGGTTCAGAAAATAAATGTTCAACGTTGCATGTTTTGACAAGAACCACATCTGGCTAAATATGCTTCAAAGGGCATTTATAAAGTCAGGAAAATGGTGACATTTCTGTTTTTGCCTTTCCTTTGGCCACTGTGATCAGTTTTTGCCATACAGTTGCATGTAATTTTTTACACCCTTGGACATCATCCTGCCAGGTTAGTTTGTGTCTGTATATAAATGTAGTTAATGAGATCAAATCCTCTCAAATCCTCTCAACTGGATATGAAAAACACCATAGGATGCCTTGGAAAAAAATGTAAAATCATATTATTAAGATAATATATTTATCTGTAGTCGACTGAATAACAGTTGGAAACTTGTGTTGAGGTAGGCAAAAACCTTTTGCAGAGACCATAAACATTCACTGACTTTGCTGTTGCAACAAGTGGTAAAAATGGTATTAAAATGTGAGATCACCTCCCTGGGCTTGCACTGAAAGAGAGTATGGGTGGCATGGTGGGACACATTGTTTATTTCCCTACCCTTTTTAAGCCAAGAGCCCTTATTTTATAATTCTGATTCATTTCATTTGGCATACAGATTTAAGTTAGCTTTTAAACTTAGAAACATGGAAAAAACTTAGGGAAAAAAATGGTGGTACCAAAAATGTAACCATAGACTGCTCTTCATCAACCTTCACGGCCCAAACAGACACCCTGTTCAAAAACTCTAAAGGGTGAAATGGTCACCACCCTAAATCAGCAGCACACACCCATCTAGGCCAAATAAGCCAAGGGTAGTATCAGAAAGAACTGCTGAGAGGATTGGGCTTAAGGCACAATAAGTTCTTTTGATGGTTGATAAAAAATCAATTTTAGCTTGTTTGTTTTTGTTGTAAATCAAATTCATAACTTACACAATCAACTGAAGTTGTAAGAAGTTGTACATTTTTCAAGCTCCTTCTGATTCTCTTTATAAACTTTGCAAAACATTCAATTTTCTTTTTTTCTGTTTCTTGTACTTCAGTCCTTTGAGGGACTTTCTCAATGCATACCCCTCTCTGATGTATTCACTCTTATTAGCAACTGGATAAGCATCTTGTCCCCACACTAAGCCATTATAATCATTTCAAGTAAAATTCAGAACTACAGGGTAATTTTTGTGCAAACAATTTCAAGGAAATACTTGAAACCGAAGTCACTATCTAATACAAAACTACTAAATACAGTACTGCTGTTAGAAATTTATTGATTATCACTCCAATGATATTCCGGTGAAGGTTTTGAAGGTTCAGTAAAACCCTCCCAGCCTTCTGATTGTAAAAAAAGCTTTTACTGACAGACCCAGTATATGTGAAGCAAAGTGACTGGAAAATTTACTCTGGCTTTTACTAAATTGGCCCAGTATTCTGTATTTTCGCCCATATATATTTGTTATGGCTCCCGGTTTACAAACAAACTTACGAACAGCGAAGTAGAAAATTGGTTTAATGAACATTCCCATATGACTGTTCCAAGACTCATACTAATATAGTGCGCTCGTGGCATATGTTTAGGATAAGGAAGAGAGTTCTTAATACCACTGTAGGCGGAAAAATATAAGAGATGGAGACTAGGCTGGTTGCTCGAAAATTCAGGAAGCTTATAAATAACTGAACTTGCCGAGATGCCGAATCACGATAAGTTTAGTCACCCATGAACTGTTCATACATCACGCCTCCTGATGTCCAAAAATTCCTTTAAAAATGTTCTTGAAAACCTTTTCTTGATGTTTGGACGCGGCAAAACTCAAAACCGAGCAAAAACTCATCGTCCCTCCATGTCTGCATTCTCCGCCATATTTGTTGATATTTGTTTTGAAGGAAAATGGTATTCAGTCGCACTCGGCCAAATTTCTTAACTGGGGCGATCATGTAAACTCCGTTCCAGACCTCGCTGCCAGCTCCCCAAGGGTTATTTTACTCCTTGCATCGGTTGTTGTTACTCTTTTTGGAGTTAATTTAACTCTGAAAGTGGAGTAAAAATTTTAGATACAGGAAAACTCCTTTTGGGGGGTTATTTTAACTCCTCAATATCTGGAGTCATTTTTACTCCTGAAAAAGAGTTCTTTAAACTCCTTTTTGGAGTTAAAATAACTGCCCCAAAAATAACTCCACTGTAAGGAGTTAGATTAACCCCACTAGAGGAGTTATTACAACTCCTTAATAATTACTGTGTAGAGTGAGGAAAACTAGTTTTGTCAAATCTCGATTGTAATCCCTTCCTTATTTTTTTCTCTTTTTGTGTTTGTCATGGCAGTCCAGTTCATTTTGTTTAATTTTGCTAATTCCTCGCTCTTCATCGCTATGAAACTTAAAGTAAGCAAAGAAATTTCATGAAAATGACAAAGTCAGAGATTCGAGACAAACCAATATGTCTCCTGAGCATTATTTTTGAAGTTGCATACAGTCAGCAGAGATCAACTTTGAAAAAATGTTAGGCTGGACAGTTTTCAAAAACTCTAATTTCAATCCGTTTCAGTCTTCTTCAGTTTTGCCCATCCGTGGCATCTGTTGTATCTGTTGTGTTATTTTAACCTTCCTTTAATGTTTTAAGCGGTTATTTTTATGTTTCTCTTAATTTAAAGGGGAATTTTGTAATTACCTAATTTGGCTGAATTTCCTGACACAGCTTCTTTAAAGCTTCCAATGTCTGAATTTGGCTAGATTCGAGTCACAGCTCTTTGTGATGACCAAAGAAAGTAAGATAGCATGACAACAAACCTTTACTTCTTCTTTCAAATTTGTCACCTCCCACGTGGCTACTTTATGAGAGTCTTTCAGAAGCCTTATGGTGCCGGTATTGCCATACGCAAAGAGCAAATCCGTTAACCCTGCCTCGTTTACAAGCGTTGGAGATACAATTGCGTTTGGGACAGTCATTTCCCTGCAATGAAACTTGAGTATTTGATGCAGAGGATGCTGGGATGAAAAGGTCCGTTTTAGTATAACACAAAATGGCTCCATCAGATAGTGAATCTTGAAAAGAAAAATTTCAAGAAAGATAGCGTTTATCATTATGATTATCATTATTAGAAGAGTCTTAAGAAAAGACATATATGAAATATGTACAACACTTTAATATTAATATCATCACCTTTACGAGGTGCTCCACGATTTGTGCGTAGCCGACATCTGTGATTTGGACATTGAGCTTAGCCAGCAACCAGTTGCCGCCATCTTCAGGAGTGTACACCGCTGAATCTGAAGAAAACAGTCTCGAGTAGTTTAAGGCCTGGGACTAAGGTGTTTACTTGTGGAAAATGAATTATTGGCTGTAACTTTGGCATAGATGATAACGCTGAATCAAACTTTGGCACACATAAACACGGAACGCATCGTCCTTAACATTTTAAAGTATAAACACTGCGTTAATAAGTCACGTGATATGTCACGTGACCATTTTGATGAAAATCGTAAACTATTGACCAATTGGCGGCCGGTTTAAGAAAATAAATCGGGAAAAAAATTTTTCGAATTCATATTAAATATTTCTAACACTTCACGTTTGGAATGACCGTCCATTGCACTTCAATAATAAATTATGAGGGAAAACATCATTTTAAATGCCCAAATCTTAATCTTGAATTTTTAAAACTTTCTTTTTAAACTTCACGTACATTCATTCCAAACGTAGAAAGTTAGGTATGTTTATTCTCTTTCACAAATACCATTTTTTTTTATTGAAAAGAAGCAAATTCGCCACCAATTCGCTAATTTCCTTCATTTTTAATTTTTGGTCATGTGACCATAATTAAACGTTAAGGCACACGAAATCCTCAAGATTTACTTTTGGGGAAAAGTTCATTTTGTTCTAGGTCTCCAAGCGAGAGACATTGCCAACTATTCATATGCTCAGAACACATCTTTGACCCAGGCCTTTAAAACCACTTGAGGTATTACTACATAAGTTGACCCTGGCATGCTGTCACATTGCTAAACAGATAATGAAGATGTACTTGAGTCTATTAGACCCTTCTACGTTTTTGGCCTTCAACATAGATTCACATTGCTGGAAAGCGTGCCCTAAAATCAATAGAGGTGCCAAGTTCAAAAGAGATGTGTAAAAACCTGACGAACGTATGGTTTCATGTGGCAAATTTACGTACAGTTGTTATTAAGATTTCTCGACTTTGTGCAACTGTATCTTCGCTTTTACTTTCAGAAGTTGCTCTTTCCAAATTCCCAAGTCTAATTTTTAGGTACTATTTTATTCCGGTTTTTCGAAGGATATTCACTAACTGGTCCTTGAAAACTAAAATAAAATGTATTGGAAGAGAGTAATAGAGTGATATTGTTTTAAGTGAAATAAGGTTTAGAGTTTAATGTTTGAGTTTCTTATTCAAAAGAGATAGATAATAGAAATGGCTGGGAAGTCTTCCGAAAACTGGTATAACAGGTAGCTCTCCTGGCCTCTGAGAACTAAGCCAAACCCATCATGTATTACGTAGTAAACCCGCATACGCTGCAATTTCAACTGCATAAATATATTAAATGAATGTAACTTTAATTTGTAAAACGTCAGTGAAATAGCCTAGTTTAGACTAGTTTCGCAAACCAATTGTAAAACTGATGTAAAATACCGTGTTGACGTATCCGTTCCCCGTATTGAAGGACAATTTTAGCAGATATCTACCGATTACATTTAGTTGTGTGCAAGAGAGAATGAGCTATTCTCCAGCTCTTGTTATGTACTTGGGCATTTTCAGTCCGTCACATGTATTTAGCATTTTACCTGGTTTATAATCCATTTGAATGGCGACAGGAACAAGCTCATTTTTGCCGTATTTATTCCCCTTAGACGCAAACAAGGCGATAGGAGAGAGAAAGTTCCACATTTTTCTTCGAGGATCTCTATCAGTAAGATCTGGTGATCTTGCCATGTCGTCACACATCTCATATCGTAGAGCGTAGATGCAGCCCTGATCTATAGCCTGCAAAGCAAAAAATGTGGAAACTTCGTTCAAATTTTTTGAACGAAATAAATACCTAGTACAACTGCCTGGCTGGAAATAAGCTGACTCTTGTCAAGCAGCAAAAAAGAGAGTGTCTTTTACGCCTAAACACAAGCAGAGTAATTAATTATTCTCCTATGTTTTTAATTTATCATGCCACACAAGGCTTATTAGGTTATGTATTGTTTGATAACGAACAGGCCCGGAGTTTTTTATGTAACCTTGATGCAACTACGACTATTTAAAGGGTCCAGATGAAATCGATCAGTTTATTCCTTCGATATAAGGTGAGATGTTTAGTTTTTATTCATCTATTTATTCAGAGCGAAGCGAGGCGCTTCGCGCCTCGCTAAGAGAGTTTATAATCTCGTAGCGCGCGAAGTACAGTACAGTATCTTTATTAAATCTCCACTACGTGGCTCTTCCGATTTAATTTACAAAATGGAACAAAGAAAGAACAAGGAGGAAAAGACTAATTTACAAATCTAATTGTTAATAATAAATGGAAAAACTAGGAATAAAATTAAATTAAGAAAGGCACGCAGTGCGTGGACCGCGCGTGGATCAAAGCGAGCTGCAAACTCGCAGCGCCCATCTATACTTTTATATATCCGATGGTGGCCGCCATGACCTCATACAGTAGTTTGACGTCACGGCGCATTTTTTCTTACTAGGCAATGCAACATGACCAGGGCACACTTTCATGTTGTATCCATAAGGGCTGATGTGTTTATTCAACGTCTGCGAAACAAAGTTTACGATCGGTGAATCACGAACAATTTCCCTGACACAGAACAGCAAGCACAACAGGTGGCGGGAAATCCTCCACGGTGAAGCTTTTCCACCGTAACTCCTCTGGAGAACGCTGATTAAATCTATCGCGAGCGGAGTAGACGACGACAACAACAAAGCCCGAAGCAGAGAGAACATCGCTGAGCACAGCGAAGGCAACGTCGTCAACACGGCGACCACAAACATGTACAGAGGTAGCGACAAAATACTACAATTACACTGCAAACAAACTGGTGGAGTGGGAACACCGAGTGCTAACTCTTCAAAAAGCGATGAGGAGATCAGGCAACGCTTGAAGTTTACAATCAAAATTATCTTCTTCGATGCAACGATAGGCAGCAAGAGTTACACGATCTGTACAATGCACATCAAGAATATCTTTCCAACGGACTAAAGACAGCCGATCAGTCTTTAAACCATGAGCAACGATGGGTTTTACGGTAAGCTTTATTTTAGAACACTGAATATGTGTGACATGTAAGGAAGCGTTACATTTGTAAATAACATTTTCGTTTACAATTTTCGTTACATTTACTTCCCCAAAACTATCCTAAGTAAAATGTATATCTATGTTTAACAGCCTTATACATAACCACAGCTGTGGTGTGGACTTTTAAGTCAAACATAGCGCTGGCCTCCTATTGTCGATCCTATTTAATATTCCAAAGGAACATCCATATTTCGAATCTCCTCTCAATATTAGTGTGTGACATGTGTTACTATGCCAGGAAAATTAATTCTTTTCCCCGTAAGGGACAATTTAACAAGTCAAGGATTTTCAGGATTAGCCAGGGAAAATTTAACTCTTTCAAAGAAGTCAGAGGGGGTTGACATATTCCTGCATATTCACCGAAGTTAAACATGTTCCATTGGCAGAATATTGTTTCAAGAAATTAAATGACAAGCAGACTTGTATGTGGACATTTCCTACAAATTCACTCCTCCATGGGTATTTGTTTCTCATGTATGTACACAAATAACTATGAACACTTTTATAAATGATTTGGTACTTTTTACAGAGATGACTCGTTGCTAATGAGGGTACCGCGTAACAGTAATCATGAGTCATGATCACTTTCATAATTCTCCTCAACTGCATCCTTAATCATGGAGACATTGCTACATGTAATTTCTATTTTAGTGTAAGTGATTGTAAGATTTGTACCTTACAGTTGCAAACAATTAGTTGTCAAATGTGATTATGTACTACAACAAGTGTAAACAGTCTCATATTGCTGTAGTTCACTTCAAAAGAAAATCCTTTTTAACGAAAGAGCACTGGGTTCAAATTTACCCCAGCCAAACGGAGATTAACTACATCTCACCTTCCAGTATTAGAGCCAGTGTTGAAACGCGCCCTTAAAGCTATACAATTTGCTCCAATTCTCTCCCCCTTCCCACACCTGACATTTTATAGGCCTCCCCCCGAACCTCGCGAGGTTCTGCTATATTCGTATTTCTAGTTTATTGTATTTTATCGATAAATTGGGAGCAGTCGTTACGTTTCACCAGATTTAACAAACTGATTTAATTTCCTTTGTACTTATTGGCTACTTGCATTGTTGATCAACTTCCTATTTGCGCAGCATTGCTTAGACGATCACTGAGCCAGTCACACATTTCTTGTCGTCATTACATTATTCAGTTAATCTTTTTTCATCAGTACTATTCCATCCAGTGAGGAAATGAAATTGCAAACAGATCAATAAAATAAAAAGCGATACATGTGAAGTTTGGCTGATATTATTATTATTATTATTATTATTTATTTATTTATTTATTTTTATCTCAAAGTATTAGGACTATCCATACCGATTCTAAAGAGTCATCTGTATCCAGAGCTGCTTGAACGGCTTTTTGCCACTCAAAGGTGGGATTCAATGTTGCCTTTAGTTCCTTCCAATCAAGTCCTATTGGTCCTAATAAGGATGAGACTATAATTGTAAGGTAATGCATAAAATATCTTTTTTCTTTTAAACTAGCTAGTAAGTAGCAGTAATCGAAGATTAGTAACTGCGGTCGAGTGTTTGCCATTAAAATTTATAGCTGGCAGATAAATGTCAAAAAAGTGAAGCTGAATCTAAGTTTTTACGATTCAGTGATCTATGCAGACTAGTTGAATCGGGCTTTTGATCCACCGGTTTATTTTTTATAAGACCGAAGTATCAGGAGTATCTTCAGTGCTTTATTTATATATTTTTAATAACTCAACACTATTGTAATACAAACGTTCTGGTAATATAAAAGGATGAAGTGAATAGATCTCAAACAAGAGAGGATAAAGGGGACAGAGAAGGCATCCTCCATACACACCCTATTCCATAGGTAATTCGTCTCGAGTTATTTTTAAGACCACAGATCCCAAGGGGGATTAGACAACAGCCAATCACATAGCGCGAATGTGTTCCGCGTGGATGACCCACGCTCAGAGCCACGCGTCCTTCACGAATTGAGGTAGAAAAAAATGGTGGAAGACGCGAAGAGCAATATTGCTATTCGTTTTGTCGACGAAAACGACTAAAGCGAGATTTCTGCTAAAGCTGTTTCAGCGAAACGGAAATTAAAAAAGAATGGCCCCTCCTCTCTTGTATAGAGCTAACAGTACAACAGGGAAATCCTTAACACAGTGAATATTCTCTCAGGATCATTTATAATTTACAGTTTGAAGAGAGCATTTCTGGTTTGATATTTATTTTTTATTAGTCTTTTATTATTCAACAAGAATAACACTTGGCGTCCTATAATAATAATAATAATAATAATAATAATAATAATAACAGTAATAATAATAATAATAATTTAATAACTTCTAGAGCGCTATTTACATTCACTGATCAACAGCGCTTAACAACTTAAAAAAACTACAATAAAATTCAAATTTGTAAAACTAATTACATATACATGAATATTACTTGCTACTTGCTTTATTGTTCAAACGACAGGTTTCAATAGACCGGCGAAATTTCTCATTTTATTAAAGCACTGAGGTTACGATAACTTCGAGTTAAACTGATTTCACGGGTTGTCAAAGAATCGAGCGATTCCCTTTTTCCAGGTGAGCGCCGACTAATTTCGCTTCAATATTCAGAAATGCTCTCGATCTCTTTACGCTTTCATTGCCTTTCGCCCAACATGTTTTGCATGGCGTTTAGTCATACGAAACCTTCACGAAACATCCACGCAGCGCGCGAGGTAACTTTATCCCGATTCTAAAAATAACTCGAGACGAATTTCCTCTGGAATAGGGTGTATATGGGGGATGCCTTCTCTGTCCCCTTTATCCTCTCTTGATCTCAAACAAATATAGTTTCAAAAGCAAGGAATTCAAATGCCTTTAAATCTGTTTAGCTAAGAATTCCGGCCTCGGTGACTAGTGAATCCTTGCAAGTTCAAATTGCTTCTGGAACTCCAAGAATGGGGGATCAGGTTTTGGCGCGAGTGTTAGAATTTAATTTTTTTTTTTTTTGGATCGATAGCAACCGTTTAATGTACCTACCACGCTGCTCTCCTCTCTTCTCTTCTTTCCCTGCAAAGAACAAAACCAAAATCAGTTAAAGAGTGTCTTTACCTCAATGAGGTGATGGCTAATTTACGGGTAACGGTTTAATTTTTAATTTGTTTTATTTTATTTAATTTCATTTTCTTACATTTTACTTATCTCACCAATAACAGAACCAAGTAGATCGAGTGTCAAAAATAATCCAAGTGGTAATTGAACACTTTTCTCGTGCAAAAACGTTTTTTTTGTTCGCAGAAATTTGCATAGCCACTGATCACGAAAGTGAAATCGATCTACAGGTTGGCAGATTTTTTCCATCACTGACTGTAATTATAATTAAACAGGGACGGTTCTCTTTGACACTTTTTAAGGGGACTTGTTTAGATGTTAAGTATCAGCAAAGTCACAACCTCCTGGTACTTTAAAATCATTTTTGGTTAATATATGAAAAGTTTAGGTAGATTAGCAAAGAAGTAAATGGAGAACCATCTTTTAGATCGATTGAGCGAGTTTAAAGAAACAGAACCCGATCATTCCATTTATAAAATACCTAACTGAAAGTACTTTATACCTAATAGGATGTCCTATAATACGTTCCTTATAAAGTTTAATAAGTATGTTGAAAGCAAGTCTCCGAGTACCATTTGTCTCCATCTCCATCTTCCATCTCTATCCCTCTACTGAAAGGTAACTTTTAGAGTACCCACATCGTTTGAACGTCCTGTACGCAGAAAATTAGTTACCCTTTGAGAAGAGATTTGAAGATATACTTTGTTTAAGAACTACAATTGGTCGCGTAGGCAGAGGCGTACCTTGTCCGTGAACTGTCACCCGCTTTAGCGACATGGGATTTTGACCTGCTAGGCGTTGCTGAGTAAAGTGCTTGTCGTTTATCCACTCGGGCTTATTGTCGACGAAGGCTTCATATCGTGATGCCAGCCGAGCATACTCCTAATGGTAACAAATATCAAAGTCTATTTGCTGTCTGATTATTGGGCCGCCGGCACAGCCCAATTAAAAATTAGTTTTCGTCGTCTCCGTCAAAGAGGCAAAAGGGACCTTACGAAACTAGGGAACTTAAGATGGAGACGTTTTCGGGGCGACGGCGACCGGACTGGCAGAGAAAGCCTGGAACTAAGGCAGCCGTCGCGCCCCGTCAAAAATAGAACATTAAGATCGCAGTGAACTCAGGAGGACGGCGCCTTTAATTAGAAGAATACCGAAGAGGAAAATATGGCCTCACATAAAGAATTAAGAGAATAAATATTTGCTCTGCAGACAACATGTATCGGATGAAGAGTTTCTCGTTTTGTGGGAAAGTTATGAGTCCAAAAATCCCGATTTTCCTCGGGACAGTTACGATCCGTTCACGCTAAAAAACAAGCGGGATGCAGCTGAGTTCAGGGCAGAATTTCGTGTTGAAAAAAAATGATCTCCACAGTCTTGCCGAAGCCTTGCAAATTACAGCAACATTAAAATGCTACCAAGGAACCGTATTCTTAGTTTGGTATTGAAATAATTCCCGGGAAATACTTGCATGCAACAACAACAACAACGGCAACAACTTTATTTCAGTATTCCCACGCCGAGTTAGTACATGGTATTACTTACAATTCTATATAATTTTCAATGCGTTTCATTTAAACGATATTCTAACGAAAACAGCGAACTAAAAATACACAATTGAAATATCGGAGTTCATATTTTTTGTCTGGATACTTTTATTTGGCTCGTGGGAAAATGTTGTCCCATGTCAAGCTCACTTACGGTTGGCTTTAGATAACAGAGCTTGGAAATCGAGCTTGAAATGTGCCTCAAAGAAAACAAAGACAATTTAAGAACGATAATCTGCAAAATGTTGGTTGCTAAACGCAACAAACCTGATTGAAATGAAAGTTAAATACTCACGTTTTCGCCACAACGCCAAACAGACCAGTTTCACGTCGCCGACGGGGCCACTACGGCAAGGTGGTGAGCACGAGCATGCGCAATATCCAACAAATGATGATGTCACGTTCGGTTGAAGTTGCCGTCGCCCCGAAAACGTCTCTATCTTAAATTCCCTATTAAGACGGCGACGGCAAAGGCAGCATCAAAGAGCAATAGCCGTGCCTGCACGACTACAACGTGAAATGACCTGATTATAAGTTTTTTTTTTTTTTGAGGACGGGAACTGCAAGGCGATAAATTCTACCGTCTCTAATCTGTCTGAACTCGGGCGTTATCCTTTCTCTTCAGCTCCAACATAAATTCAATTCCCTTCCTTTAAGTAACTGGGTGACTTGGGATAACCGCGAAATGGTTTAAAAGAATGCGGAGTCTATTTTTCAGCGAAGTTTACATGGACGTCGCCGTTGTCGGATCGTAAGGTCCCTAAAATATCGGACGGATGATCAGGAAGTGGGATAGGAGTAGTTATACACTCAGCATGCAAAAGGTGAGATAAGCATAATACCTTCCAAAATATATTAGACCACTACAAAGTGTAGCCCAAAGTACCCCTTCTGTAGGCGTCTATTTTAAATCTTCTGAATTATCCGACACGTTATCTTGCCTTGCAAGTTTCACTGGGATTTAAGTACACCAGCGTAGAGACTGAGATAAGCCAAAAAATGTCACGCATGAAGAAGAGACAATATTTCCACCCGGTACTTGTACGCGAAAAATAGCATCAGGAAAAAAGCCGACATTTCGCGACGCCATAAGACGCGTATGTTATAATCCCTCGTTTTCAAAAATAGATCGACGTTCACTTTATAATAGAAAGAAACGAAAGAAAATAAAAACAACAACAACAAAAAAAACCAAGCCTTTCCTATTTCTCATCCGTAAATAGACGGGGTGATCATATGGTAAACCGCTCTAATTTTGTAATTCAAGGTTAAGAAAGAAACTCAGGAAACTAATTTAAAAGTGGATTTCAGTTTTCAGATTTGAACGGTGTGTGGTAGTGGTGTCATCTGGAAGGCTTGTTGCATGGAGAGATACACTGTCGAAGTACTTGATGATGGGCTAAGAATTTTTCTTTTGTTTTAATACTGACTTAACTGTCATTAATTTCCATTGAGTCAAAAGAAAAAGAAAACCACGTTTCTTAATTAATAATGGCACGACAGTTACAATTAACGACAGGAAATTTAACATATACAATCAGGGAACACAGACAACATGCTGGGCTAGTCATACGCAATTGACAAAACAATACATTACTTTCTTTGCATAATATTTGCATGGACAAAGAGTATTTTAGATTCAAAAATTCTCACTGAGCAAAAAGGAACACGATATTGTTTGCGTCAACTAAGTTGGCCGCTGTAACATCAGTTTACTCTAGCAATACACTGACGTCACGGAGGCGATTTTAAAATTCAAGTATCAGATTTATTACATCACCTGCGCATATAACCTGACATTAAGCCCCGTTCACTCTTGACTGAATGTCAGACGCTGGCAGTTACATCTGACTTAAGGTTTTATGCAGTTGAACTCGGTCTTTGAATAACAAAACAACATACTTACGCCAATTGCGGGTTCTGGAGCCGACTGAAAAAACGCTGACAACTTCAGATATTCCGATAGTTCCGTGATTTCCTGACCAGCGGTTATATTTCTGTACAAGGCAGAGGATTTCGTGCTTGCTTGCAAGGTTTGAAGATATGTCGAAGCGTAGTATCGTATAAAAGGATCTTGCAAAGCAATGGCTTGCAGCTGCTCAGAGGTCATGTTCAGTAAGGCAAAGCCATGTAAATCTGGATCATGTTTCAAGGTCCAGATCTTCTTGTTCTGATTTAAGGCAGCATTTCTCGACACTTTACAGGCAGGACTGGCGTGCTGGAGAAGGGATACTTCACATGGGGCCGCTGATACATACCTTGGTGAAATTAAGAAGTTGTTTGTCAGTGTAATGCAAAACAGCTGGAGTTATTCATTGTAGTTTACCTATACAATTTTCGCAGCAATATCGGAAAATGTATTATATTCAACAACACATGTGTTCAAATTTTTCTCAACATTGAAACCGTGAGCAGCACCATTACGAACTTTTGGTGAGATTTCATTGCAGCCCCATAAATCTATTATGCATATAGCAATCTCATATTGTTTCACATGAATGGAGTCGAAACAACTATGCATAATAAACAGCGCTTAACGGAATTCTAAGCGAATTGAATATCCTTGTACATATTCCTTTGACCGAACTGAGATGATTTTACATTCAAGAAAAACTTGACAGTTTTCAAATGTTCATCGCTATGTTTGTAGCTTCTAATTTAACACCCAGGACATTTGAAATCTTATCATCCGTCTCTAGCCTGCATAACATAATAGCAGGCGATTTATGAGCCAAGCGAGGCGAACGCAGCATTTTTTATTTATTTATTTATATTTTAAATATATTTATTGATAATCACATTAAAAAACTACATTTACAATACTACAAAAAAAAACACTTTAACAAAAGACATTAACAGAGTAATGCAAAATTAATTGTTAAATTATTACAGGACTAAAAGAAATTATAAAAAAGTACAACAGGGCAATGAAATAATACGGAGTTAATACAGTTAACTTAAATAAGGCGCCAGTATCCATTTACTTTTAAAAAATTCTTTGTTGCTGATTTTTTCTTCTGTTTCATATTTAGCGATGATCTTGGCTCTAAATCCATAAATGTTTGGACGGATTTGTTTGCTCCTAGGGTCCCACAAATAGAGTTTTCCAATAATTATAAAGTAGTTCAGCATTTTTCCTCAAAATTCCAAAGAGCACATTTTCCAAGCAGAGCGGAATTAGTTGATTCGAAATAAGGCACCAATATAGTTCAAATTGAATCCAAAACTGTTTAGAGCGTGAGCAGTGATAGAACAAATGGGTTAATGATTCAGGTTGATTATAATTATCACAGAAAGTACATAAATCATTTGTTCTAAAACCTATTTTATACAACTTTGTATTTGCGTAAAGAAATGAGTTAATTACTTTGTACTGGAAGGCTTTAACATACGATTCGACAACGATAGAGAGTGGCAGCTTAAATATTTGCTTCAGATTGTCGCTGTTAAAATGAAAGTTACTCTGTAAATTTTGAATAGTATTGGGCAGTTTAGCTTTTTCTCTGATGAGTAGGTTGTAGTAATCCTTTTATTTCCCTTTCGTAACATCAAAATTATTGTCACCCGCCACAAATGTTAGAGAGTTTATGGAAGGATACCTGTCATAACTTCTTAACGATAATGGAATGGACCTACGTAAGCCAGTCCATTCTAAAATATTTGTTTTGTATATTTTTTTAGACAGTTGATTGAAAGAATCAGTACTGTTCAGACTAAATAAAAGATCTTGAATGCAAATGACTCTCGCATTAACATAATGTTTATAATAAACCGGCTTGTTTTCTACTTTTATTTCTTTGTTATTCCAGATTATGGTTTTTCAGTCTTCTTCAGTGGCAAACGTTTCACGAAATTGCGACCACCATAACAAAAGCTCCTGATAAAATTGAGAAGGAATTGTGTAATCCGAGGTATTGTAGTTGCAGTTAAAAAAGAACAATCCCCCCAACGGAGCTCAGTATGTGTTGTAGGTAGCTTTTCCAAGTTCCATTAGTCCCACTGAAGATACGTTTTAACCAAGCTAATGTCAATGATTTAACCATGCACTCGAGATCAACCATTCTTAGCCCTTCCTCTTCCTATTCGTTTATAACTGAAGTTCTTGTTACCTTACCTCTAGCGGCATTTTGCGCGAAGTGCGAAACGAATGCAATGCACGAAACGAGGGGCGGACAAAAATAAAGCGCCTGTTACCAGTCCACTGTTCTGACTCTTCCCACGTTCACTGCACGAACGTTGCGTTCCGGTAGGTTTAATTGCTGAACGCGTTGTCTTAGCATGTTTGTCTGGCATGTTTCCTGGAACAAAATAACCGTTACGTCACGCATTCATGTTCTTTTGACGATGCTGTTCGAGAAGCCTTTCGGTTATTTCCAAATGTTCCAGAAACAAAAGAAAAACAAAACAAATGTTTAAATTTATTGCTTAAGAGTAAAGATGTTCTCGGATTGCTTCCAACTAGGTTAGGAAAAAGCCTGATTTACTAACTTTAAATTAGGTACGATCGCATCGCAGCGATCATAGCTATCATATGGAAACCACTTTCCAGCGATCGCAGTACTACTACTTGTGGCCGTAGGTGGGCGGAAGAGCCAGAACAATGGACTGGTAACAGGCGCTTCATTTTTCTCCTCCCTTTGTTTTTCGCTTCGCACTCATTTCGCACTTCGTGCAAAATACTGCGTTCGCCTCACTTGGCTCATAAGGCGCCTCACTTATGCAGGCTAACCTGTCCTTGGCTTAAGTTTTTGTTTTTGTTTGTGTTTTTTGTTTGTTTGTTTGTTTTTGTTTTTTTTCTAGAAAGTTTGAATCCGTTGGCACTTTCCAAACGTCGGGTAGAGACGGTCAGGAAAAACATAATAACGTCGTCGTCCCATAAATTAAACACAAATTAAATTATGAACTGATTTCAAAGCAGACGCAAAATAAAATTGCGTGTTTATTCAAAGTTTATTTTAAGCCTGAATTCATTTTTTCTAATTATCCTTAACTTGGCTTTCTAATATTTCCGAGAAAAATGGAGCTGCAAACTTAGACGTGTTCTGTCAGATATACCCGAACGTAATCCAGGTCGGTTACGAGATTTAACTGACCAATCAGGCATTTTGGAGCTTTGAAAGAGCCTCTTCAAAAGTAGCCTGGGAACGCAAACGTATTTTTGGTCGCCGCTTCTCTCGAACTGAAAAGTTACTTTTCGCATAAATATGTCCTCGTTCCCAAGTTACTTCGAACGTATTGGAGAGAAATTTTCACTATTTTCGTCGAGTAACAATATGAGTTATAGAATGTCTGTAATTTTTCTCCTTTAACATTGGCGCCAAAGACTTTGAATAAACATTTTATTACATGTGTAGATAGAGTAACCTGTAGAATTCCACAAAGTTCAATCAACGTCCCACAAAAATGCATTAAGCTCAATACCACTGGGTTGTTTGCAGATGATTCTAGAATGACAGCCACTAATTAATCTCAATCGAAAAAGCAGACGTGTCAATGAGCATGACAGAAATTCAATGAGTATATGTTTTAGATAACCTGTGAAGTCCTACATAGTCCACTCAACAACGAGCTAACTGAAGAAAAATTATTATGCCAACATTTATTATTGATCTTGAGGTCAAGTAAAACACTATACATTACTCGACGAAAACTTTAACACGGTTTATATTGTATATTCTTGGTAAGGGGAGGAGGAAAATAAAGCGCCTGTTACCGGCCCATTTTTCTGGCTCTACCCACGTTCGCCACATGAATGTTGCGTTCCAATTGGTTGATTGATGACACGTTGTTCTGGCGAGATTCTGCTATGTTTCTCTGAAACAAAATGGCCGTCACGCAGTCATGTTCTTTTGACGATGCTGTTCGAGAAGCTTTCGTTTATTTCCAAACGTTCCAGAAATAAAGGAAAAACAAAAGAGGAAAGATGTTCTTGGATTGCTTCCAACTAGGTTTGAATAAAGTTTCAAATTACTAACTTTCCGAAATTAAGTGTTGACAGGCCAAACACTACTCATAAGCTCGTGATAATGTGAAACGCATGACCATGGACTTTGTTTGAACAACAGGTTTTCCCTCTTTCTTCCTCGCCGCTGTTGCCGAACTGGACATAAACTAGACTGACTGAGCAAATCTTACTTTGTTAATTTTGCCGCACCGAGTCTTACATTATTGAAGGTGACTTTTGCCAGTAGTTGTTATTCCTGTGGTTTTATGATGCTGTCGGTGTTTGTGGTAGCCAGAAAGGTGAAAATTTTCGAGTAATAGATCTTGTTTTCGTTGGTCCTTTTAACATCACCGCCGTTATTCAGTACTTGTGGGCGAAGGTGGGCGGAACAGGAGAAAAAAGGACTGGTAACAGACGCTTTATTTTTCTCCTTCCTTCGTCTTGCGCTTCGCCCTCGTTTCGCGCTCCTCTCAAAATACCGCATTCGCCTTGCTTTGCTCATAAAGCGCCTGCTATGCAGGCTACTGTAAAGAAAAATTATTATGAGAATACCTAGGAACATATTTAGGGTAAAACCAAGGAAGCCATACCTCAGGGTTGTTATCAACAACAACAGAAAAAGCTGTAAATTCAAACTCATAAGCCAAGCTATAGGACTTGCTGATTAACTAGAACTGATTAGCGAGAGTGGCTTACTGATGGCTTGAGCGATGCTCAGAAGCTTGCGCAGAACGTTTTTCAGCCATGAAGACCAAAATTGACGTCACGCTGTCTCCAGACCATCGCGCGGCAATTTTAGAAACGTTTTCGTGAAGTCTTTGGAAATGCTCGGATTTTGATGTTTTATCTTTCTACAATTCTTGGCGAAAAATCTTTACCCAAATCTCATTTAGGATGGTTCTTTTTAGTGTTTGGTGAAGGTAAAGCGACAAAGAAAATATTTCAATTTTTTGGTTCATTTGACCTTTGAAGCTGAAATCTTGTTTCAGGTTGATTAAACTCTTGGTGGCCTAATGCAATACTCTCTAAGGCGTCAACTGACCCGTGTTGCTTTCAACAAAGAGTGGAGGGCTTAGGACAGCGCTGATTTTAAACCACGCAACAACAGTTTTAAGAACCTATTTGCATGTGAATACATCTGATATTGTATTGTATTTTTTTGTATT